TGCATTCAGGCTGTGTTTCTACAACCGCTACAGAAGTATACCTTCAGAAAGCCTGTAACAAATGCCTTCCACTCAGCAACCACCTTCACTGCAGTGCTCATAGTGCTTTGACAGGACCAAAGTTCCTTTGTTTTGGTATGATCTGGCTTGACAGTCACCACAGACTGGTATAGGTTGGTTGCACTGGCTTGCAAGTACTTCTGGATCAACCAAAATGCCTTCTGTCCTGCCTGGTAGGGTGTCATAGGGAATACGAGAGGAAGCTGGAATTAGGTAGGAGACTGTGATGTGTTGTGAGGATTGTTAAAAATCCAAACTCATCAGTTTCTGCTGCTTGTGGCTCCAATTGCTTGTTTTATAATTGCTTCTGGGGATTAAAGGAACAGTGTTGGCTCACAGAGGTTCACAAATCTCAGCATTCATACTGCTAAATACAAGGGCTTTTTAAAAGGTTTTGAAAATACATATTTTGGCTTGTTAGTCAAATATAATGCTGTTTAAATGTTAAAAAATACTGTGTTTCTTGAAATTAGAAACGAAGCTGCTGTCTGCCTTTATTCTCATTTCAACCAAAAAGTGGAACTCCGCCAAGAGTCATTAAATCTTCTATCTTTTGGATGAATCCTTATTTTTTTTATGAAAAAACGTTATGATTGGGCAATTTGTGTATTGTGGTTTATGTTCAAAAGGTTGTAATTAAAGTTTTGTAAAATTTGAGATCCAATCTCAATTACTGTAAACCTCATATTATGATGTTGACTGATGTACCACCACCTTGCAGTGGAAATGGTTGACAAACATTAGTTTGTCTTCTACAGCAGGTTTATAAAATATTTGGTATTAGAAACCTGATTAGAAAAATCTGTGCTGATGGCTTGCAAATGCTGTTAATCAGTTGGGAAATGTGAAGATTTACAATGCATTAAGAGATCTCATGTGACTGAGAAGCACCCTCGTATCATTTTTGTTAAGGTTTTAAATATCTTTCTATATTTAAAAAATAGGATAATGTACTTATAGAACACTTTGCACAACACTCAAAATTGCAGTAAGTGATTGTAATTCCGCTGATCTCGTTGTAACCACTTAGAGGCGTGAAATAGGCCATTGAGCTTTACCAGGAAAAGTATCTTTTGAACAAAAGCAAAGATAATATAAGATGAATTGCCCTTTGGGGGTGCCTATGTCCCAGTCGCTAAGACTTGACATGTAACTTTAGACAGCTAAAATTAGGTGAGCTTTATCTTACTTGTGATTAATAAAATACTATAAAATTTGAGTTGTAAAACATTTTCTGAAAGGGACATTTTTGTTTGTAAAATGTTTAAGAGTGGAAACTCAGATGATGCAGAAGATGACACTGTTAGCATTATGTTCAAAGAAAAACTCAGACCCACCCTAAGAGGAGTTGCATTTTGGCCATCTAATATGCTATTGTAATATGCTTCCAAAACTGTTAAACAAGCTGATCCTGTGTGTGTTTATGTTTAGGTGAACAGAAATACCCATCATCACCTTGATTTTAATGGCACTACTGTGATATCCTATAACAGGGATAAAGTAATATAGGCAAATGTAATAATGACACATTAATAGAAGTAAAAGGTGTAAAAGCTCTTTAAGGCTACTTTCTTCCAGTGTAAACAATTTTAGTGGTAGACTAAACTGTGTTTTGGAGCAAAAACTAATTGTTATTCCAAACTTCCTACATTGTAATATGTCATATATAGCTAGAATCACCAAGTCAGGCAGGCTCTCTTGGCATTTGCATCTATTGAGAACGCTCATACACAATGTAGAAACAGAATAAATGGAAGTCAATATATTATATCAGTAATAGTCTGTTTTCAGCCTACTTCAGTGGCATTGAGGTGTGCCTGATTAACGAAACACTTTAGTTATTTCCTTATTTGTTGACAGCAATGTATGCCATATTTCGCATGAAGATATTAAGTGGTTATTGCTACCAGGAGGGATAATTTAACAAATGCTTCCTGCTTCTGGAAATGCCTGTTCCCAGTTCAGAGCAGTGTTATTCTATCAGAATATCAATACCTTTGCACTACTGCAAGTTAGAAGTCACACAGAAAAATCAAGAACAAAAGATTGATTAGAATTTTTTGTTGTTTTTTTAATGATGACCCTAGGCATAGATTAATGGATGCAGCATGCACAAAGTGATATCAGTTAACATATATGACATTACTCAGATGTCTCAAACTCCGGAAAAAGCATGTGAATGATTTATGGAATTGATATTAATCTCTTTCCAGTAAATGCATTACTAAAGTTACATGGGAAATTGATGTTACTGCTGTAATGCCAAATTAATTTCTTTCTTGCTAGGTCAGCATTGCAAATGGAACTAAATATTAACCTTTTAAATATCTAAACAGAATATACTATGGAAGACATTTTTACAAGGGGGGAGACAGCATTGATGTGATACCAGCTAACAAACATTGCATTAGTTGAGTATCTTAACTTGTGGAAAATAGATATTAATGACTTACGGAGCTAATGGCAATGTGAGAAGAATTAGTATAATAGCATCAGTAAAGAATTAGTATGTTAATTGTAGTTGGTGTGCTGATTATAATTTTCATAGTCGGTTTATCTTCTGATTATCATGCTACCTTCTTCAAGACCTCGCCTTTCCCTCCTGCATGTTTTTGCTGTTTAACTGACCTGAGTGGGACTGGAATAAGCAACTGGAAGTGGAAGTAGAAATGTCTGAGACCAGATAATTGTAAATTCAGAGCAGATTTTCAACAGCCTCTGTATGAGCAACAACCAAATAGAGCAGTAAACTTTGGTCTGGAATAGGCATAACTGAAGAGGAATATGTTAGAGGTCTATAAAATCATGATTCCTAGCCAAAATGTCAGTGAATATGAAACAGTTGTACCCTGTCTGTTCTCTTTGTACAGAAAGTAAGGGCCATTGAAAGAAACTAACAGTTAACATGTTGGAAGCAAAAAAAGAAGAATGGTCCCTCACATATTGTTTAACTAAACGGGGGAGCTTCTTCCTGCAGGATGTTGTGGATACTAAAAGTTTATGTGCCATGCTTTCAAGCAAAAAAACAACTGACAAGACGAGGGAAGAAAAATCAGTTGAGAGCTACTAAACACTGGCACCATCTCTGGCTCAGGTGGTTCATGAACTGTACAGTGTAAATTGGGGAATTATTCTGGGCAGGAATCTTCAAACAATCGCTTTGTGCCCATGCTCTTCTCTAGGGATCCATTTCTGGCAGTTACTCAGTTACAGATCTTGATCTCACCTGATACATACATCTGGTTAAATGGTTAATCACTTTTCATACATATGATAATCTTTTATTAATTTCTAAAAAATAGATTACAGGTTATAGTTACAAGCCAAAATTAACATCACGCAAAACTATAATTTGATCAGATAATAAGAAGGAAAATCTTACAGTTATTGTTTCCATTAAAACTAATTTTCTTAGGAAGATAGTGGTTGAAGGTGGTGTGCTAACACCAACAGCGCTTGTCTGGAAACACACCCGGTACAGATCCAGCCTTAAGATTTCATGCTATACATTCCTGGTACTGACGTTTCCATCAGTCTTTCAATTTTTGGTAGGATTTTTGTAAGCTTGCTCTTTGACAGTGAAGGAATGAAAGAAATTCAACTTTGTACTTTATACAAAGATGTTTACATCATTTTTGAGAATAAGCAGCAGGATTTTCATATATACCAGGTTCTGAGATAAATTTTCCAGTTTTCATTTTCCTGGCTCTGTTCAGAATTTTCCATCTGGAAAAATGATAGAGGGAAATACAAGAAAGAATACCAATGTCCCTGCCAGTGTGAAGGAACATTACATTACACTGAACAAATATCCTTATCTGAATGTACAATCACTGAAATAAATGCAGCTGTGTTTATTTCAGCATAATCGGATATATTTGAATATAAAATCATGGACATAAATGCAGCTGTGTTTATTTCAAACTGCACATGTTAATATGAACATGAATGTGACATCAGTTAATCACTCATGAATGTATGGAGGTATGTATATATGGCAACACAATGGAATACTGAGACAGTTGAAAGTATGAAATGAAAAAATCCAGCTGAGATTGTTCTTTACCTAAAATCTTTTCTAACAGCATTGGAACTCACTGATGAGGAGTTACAAAAATTCTTCTCATATAAAATCACTTCATTTAAATAAATCTATGGTTGCTCTATGGAGTAACAGGTGACCTTCAGTTACTGACTATGGAAATAATTGCTTTGAATAATTGCTTCTTTAAATAGAGAATCGTGTTAGTTTTCAGTGATGGGTAGGTCCAGGTCGGTCTCTTCTGATGGGTGCAGCACAGACCTTAACTTTACAATTTCAAGCCTTAAAAAGAGCTTCCAACCACCCTTATCCAATTTCATCTTGCTGGGTTCTCAGAGAAGCCCAGGGAAAATACAGTGCAGAGCAGTGCCAGTGGAAAGATATTGGTATTGTTTGTTTTGTTATGGATGCTTCTCCTTGCAGGATTCCTGTCTGCCTTCACTGTCCTGTTTATATTTTTAATTTCTTATAAATCAGAGCCATTCAGAGCTAGACAAAATTGAGAAGTGTTCTTTACTCTGCTTATGCAGAAGGTGCTATGTTGTTTATCAAAAGGAATGGCTGTATTCAACATTAAAGTGACAACAGAACAGTAAATATTTTGGAGCTAAGGGTATTGGAAAGGCTTTATTTTCATCTGGGAGAAGGCTGAAATATTCTGCTAGACTAAATAGTAGTATTCTGTTCAGTTAGTTCAATAACCTGTAATAGTATCCCTGTTTTGCAGAAGACAGTATCACAAAAGACGTGGTTCTTGACTGCCTAGCACCTTTTGTAGTGAATCTCAGCTGTGTGAAATGAGCACAGAATGGTTGAGAAATGTTAAGAGTGCTTTGCATCTGTTTCATGTGAACTGAATGTTGAAATCTCTTATAGATTGGATCAAATAGTGAAGAATGAGGGAACAGAAGGAAAGGGGATGAAGCAGAGAAAATATATTTGAGACATTTGTACCATGTCCTGCACTCAGAGGGATGTTGGCTGCGTGCACAGAAGTGCGCTGCTGCTTTCTCTGTTACTGTGTGACTTGCAACATGTGGTGCTGCTCATTTTCTCAGGACATAGCTTAGGCAGTAGTAACTGGGAGAACAATATTTCTTTTCCTTGCTTCACATCTGTAGAGAAAAAAAATACTTTTGATTTATTACTTTTTAATTTTAGTTTAAATGAGTTGAAGACACTGGAGCAGGCTGCCCAGAGAGGAACACAACCATCCACGAAGGTGTTCAAAGCCTGAGTAGGCACAGTATGAAGCAACCTCTTCTTGCTGACCCTGTTCTGAGCAGGGTGGGTGGACTTAACAATCTCCAGAGATCCCTTCAAAATTGGTTTAGAAGTGATACCACTCCTCCTCTTCCCCCCCCAAATTACTGTACAGTTCAGATAGATTCTGTTCTTCTTGTTGTTCTCTAATTTGTTGTAAAATTCTCAACTGCCTGCTGTGCCAAAGTTAACAAGCCAAATGAAGCTCTTTGCTTGTTTGAGCTGCCACTGTAATGCAGGAAGAGACAAAACACTCTGAAATGCATAATGATCTGTACTTTTGAGAGAATATTGGTTGAAAAACATACTTCAGAAGGGGTTGTTCTGCATAAACTAAATGTATTTTTTTTTTCCCTGATTGACACTATCCGATTTTAGGGCAAAATATTGTAAAATATTTTGCTCAGCCTAACAGGAATTTGGATATAGGTTATTAGGTGGGAAACACGTTATTTTGGATACATGCAGAGCTTCATTTTGCATTTATTGATTCTGTTTAGTAACCTAATTGCCTTCTTGGTTCAGCCTTTAGCATGCTAATTTTGATTTAGTGTTTGTATTGCTGAAAACAAACTGGGAACAAACCATATATTATCACTGTGTGTTCTTTAGACAGCTACTGGAATTCCAGGATCTACTGCAGTAGCATTATGTGAAGGTAAATTACCACAATATATTAAGGGTTATTATTATATTCTAACAATTTCTGGTAGAATCACATCTATTTTCCTCTCATCTGAAACTCTAAGATAGCTTTTTGTTCCTAAGAAGTGTAATTTATTCTGATTTTAAAAACGTTTTTGAATGTTTATGGTTGTTACTGTACTACATTCTGAACAGTTCCTTTCTAGTAGCCTTTGCTAAGATTGTAAGTGAATGGCAAATATGTGATGTGAAAAACTTGTACGCCTTTTTTGTGAATGCAATATGAAAATATATAGGGCTAAGAAATAATACATCTAGATACTTTTTTCCTTCCAGCATTTTGGTGGTCAGCTTAAAAATGATGTTCAATGGGTTTTGAAATGATCGAATAGTAATTCTTTTGACATTTGTGTTCCTTTTTGTCTTTCTTATCTGCAGTTTTTATTTGCTTATGTTGTTTCATTTATATAATCTTTACATTCATCTTTCATATTACTGTGAATTGTATAATGAAATATCTTCAGTGCTCTAGTGATCATATAAATGGACATATACCTGCAGTGAGCTGATCGCCATTTGTGTAGGCACAGTCAAATTAGGCTGTATAGCAATGTCAGCACAACCCCAAATGTCTTGAGACTGGATAGATGCTGGGATAGTTAGTTCACTGCTGAGGTTTGTGCCATTACCGATACATTGCTATCAGAACACCAGAGCTGGCTAGATTTGTGTCTGGGCCAGGTCAGGTGACATATGATGATGCACTTGCTCCTCTGAAATATGTCGTATACCAAACAGGGAAAGGAATAGCAATATTATAATTAATGTATGCTTTCTTCTGAAAAATAAAACATGATAGCAAGCTGAAGCTTGACTTTTGGTTATTACTGCATGTATTTCCTGTGGCTCTTCTGTTTCAGTAGCTTCAGGATCAATCCATTCTCACTTATCCCGAACACTTGTCATCCTCTTACTTGATTGTCGCAGTGTTATCCTGCCTGTTATTTCTCTTTCCTGTCTGCATTTTGGTAAATGTTATTACTGAAGTATCTTCTTTTGTATGTTGAGAGAATGTTGAGCCCCACTTCTTGAGCCTGTACATTGAATGCTATACCAAATTAAACCCTGTTATCTCTAGGGCTCTATGTTATCGGCCTTCCATTAGCATTTGTTTTGTTTTTCATTATTCCCATCTGTGTGCTCTTCTTTATCCTTTTGGATGTAGTGATTCATTTATTTCCTTCCCTCAAATTTGCATTTGCAATTTCATCAGTAAACATTTTTGTCCCTTTTATTTCAGTCATGGTTTCCCATTATCACGTGGTTTTCCTCTGCAAATATCATTTTTTTTTTAACTTGAAAGATTTTCTTACAGCAGTCTTTCCAAATTATGTCTCTTCTGTTTTAATTATTTTCCTTATTTATTTCAAGGAACTGGGATCTGGAACTGTTAATGTCTAGTGATTACTTGTCTTTAATCAGTTTGCATGTACTTTTGGACAGGAAACACTTCTTACCAGAAACTTCAGCTGTGCATTTTAAATCTTTTCTCAAGCAAGGGGATCTGTTCCAGATGCCAAATCTTCAATGCATGGTCCAGGGCCAAAATCAATGGAAAAATCTTTGCAAAACAACAATTTCTGTTGTCTGTGGGTCAGATCATATGCTTGTGAAACTTCCTATGAATTAATAATTATGTGGCATTTGGGAAAATGTTCTGGTTTTCAGTGAGCCAGAGGTCAGTAAGAGTGACTGCTGGAAGAGAGAGAACGGATTAGAAAACATGAAAATAAGAACATTCTGAATGATTGCAATCAAGTTCAGTTAGAAGTGTCTGTCCAGTATGTCTGTAGTGTAACAATCAGTATGACAACTAGATACTTCTTATGGTGTGCATGCATACATGACTTCCAAGACCTCTAATTTTATTTTCTCTTTAGAATGTTAGCCTAATTAATAATAGCTTATGCTTATAATCTCTTACTGCAGATCACCTTGTGCTTTACAAGGTGCTTTTGTTTTCATTTCATAGTTCAGAAATCTTAGGCTCACAGAAGATCTTCAATGTTATGCAGTAGAATCACCACTTGAAGCATTTCGACATTATCTTCTTTGAAGTACACTAATTGGTTTTAAACCCACACCTTTGATTACTCTTTAAAACTGAATAAAGTATGTGTCGTCCTAAGTCAAAGTGGATAAGGCGGACTTTCATTTGTTGGGGTGGTATTTTAGAGTCTGCCATGCTTCAACAGATAATTAGGAATAATATGTATTCTTGCGGATATAACAATGAGTGATATTATTTCAGCAGTACAGGAAAACTTAAATCCTGTTGGAAAAGTTGTGTTAGGTTATCTCCATTGACTCAGGGTAAAGAAGAATGAACCAGCAGACTAAAAAAGGGAGGAGACAGAACAAGCATTATCTTTTTCAACCTATTCAGTTATGGCTGATTTAACCCAGAAGGGGAGATAAGGAATATTGTGTGCTTTGAGAATACTGTAATAAGCTTTGTTAACTAATAATAATAACTGTTAATTTGTTGTTTCATATGAGAAAGAAAGAAAGATGAAATCAGAAAGTTACTATTATTTTATAATAGTGATTTAGTCTTTATTGTCTATGTGGCTTTATAGTGATAGGGAATATAGGCTAGTATATATTAACAAAACAAAATTCCAAAGAGTATGCACTAGAAAATAAGGAAAAAATTTAGTATGTGCTGATGAATGCAACTCAGTGTTATTTTAGTGTGTGATTTTAGATAATCCTTCAGGTTCCCTGATGTCCCTTATTATATTCTTATTTGTGAAAGAAATATTTTTGTTTATAAACTGATATTTACAATACTTCTACCATCTTAGTGAATTAACAGGAAGCTGCCCACCTGCTCAGAATTAGAAGTCTCTTTATGTGCAATTCCTAGCTAGTAAACTATTTGCACCTTTAGAATAGATGTCGGGACTGCCGTTTTTCTTGTCAATCTGGGATGTTCAAGAGCAAAACGTCCTTCTGTTACTGACTTCCGTGCACATCAGCAGTATGACAGAAAGTCATCTTTCAGTCACAGAGTTCATGTGTTCTTGTCAGTATGGTAAAAACATGAAAATGAAGACAAAGACTTTATAAGTTCCTGGTTTTGAAGACTGGGTTTTGAAATTTGGTTAAATCTAGTGACTTATATGAAGATATCTTTCATTTGAAAGTTTTAGATTATTATAGTAACATTTAAAAATTGTTCTAATACATTAAATATCCACTTTTTTTCCAAGTAGATAAATAAAAGTACATATTATAAAAAATTAAGAGCTAAATATTGTTAAAATTAGGAACCATGAATAGTTCTTTACTTCTTAAGTTGATAGTTGTTTTCTTATGCAACGGCTTGCACAATGTTTTATAATGTAATAAATCTTTCTAATGCTTTTAAGAGAGAAAAGGATTTTTGTGTGTCATGATGAATATGTTGTAAAGTGCACACATACAGATTCCAACTCAAAATTGAAATTAACCTTGGATGTATTTAAAGAAATAATTTTAATTAACCCTTTTATCTCACAGTTAATATGCATTTTTTGCTTAAGGGCTTATATTAATACCACAGTGGCTTCTTATATAAGAACAAATAATTGTTTTTAAGATGAGACTTTGGTATAAAATGACCTTGCTCTGGATTCACTGACAGGGTGTACTATTAGAAGTACAATACCGTATATAACAAAAGTAGTGGGGCTTGTTATTTTTAATTGAAAGGGTTTGATACCTCTTCGTATCTTAAATAAGCAGAGGTAAAGTGGAACCTTTCTTTAGAAATCCAGTAAGACTAATTTTGAACAGGAATAGTACTCCTAAATGTGTGTGTACATTACTGCTTTTGAAGTCTCAAAAGCAGCATTTGAACTATAAAATTGACCAAGGTCAATTTTGTCCAAGGTCAGTCATGTCCACAAGAAGCAATAGTACTGCTCAACAATCACTCTATCATGATTTAAGTACTAATTGCTTAAAAAATACTACTTTGTTTTCTGGGTTTATGAAAAAACTTGTAAGAAGAAACTGTCTGGTTTGAAAATCTACATTTTTAATATTTTGTTTTTGCTCTTTTTGGAAAAATATGGTCCTACCAAAACCAGACCCGTGGTAGTAAATTAGATACAAAAGAGATGCAGGCCAATAAAAGAAAACTTTAATTTTAATCCACTTAATTGGAATCTTGAGTCAAGTTTAACTGGGCATCTTAATAGGCTAGAAACTTCTGGGTATGAAAGAATTACTAGAAAAGCAGAAAAAGGCAGGATGTGATGTGATTGACTTTGTCTATGAATACAGGAGCATCTCTGCAGACCATGCCTTTATATAGTCCAAACCTCCCACTTAGCTCACCATCCAAGATTTTGCAAATAGCTTATTGACTCACATATGCCTCTGGCTATACCCTGCACTTCAGCCTATATATAGACATGAGTAATATGAGAATAATTGGTCTGCTCGTCTGAAGATTTCTTTCTTAATGGAGAATAAACATTACAAAGATCAATGCATCTCAGCTGAAGACGTGCAGCAGGGTTGAGATTATGTGCCTCCTCAGGAGGCACAAGCTGCGATCTGTAAGACCAAGTGCTACCTGTCTTTCTTAACAGATGGGTGGCAATCAGACCTGCAGTGTGATGCAGAGTCAGAACGAGAAGCTGAGACCATGCCTTTGAATTGTGAGGCCACACTTTGTCTTGCAGACACTCTTGCTTTCTAATTAGCCTAGATAGAAGGAGCTTGCTTGCCCCTATTTCGTAGATGTAGTCCCGTCTCCATGTCTTATACCCTTCTGCATCCCTCTGGGTTCTCTGGCTGATATTAATTGCTGGCTAATATAGCTGCAATTTCATGGAGTTGCAATCTTTATAGAGCTGTTTCTTCAAGATGTTGTAATAATTCCCAGTTTGACAGTTGGACGACATTGGCTGCATTGCTTATTGGCAGAGGTGCTGGTTATTTTTTCCACTGTAGTGGCAGCATTTGGTTAAGAATTTGATTAAGAAGAAATGAGACTTAAAACCATAGTCATATTTCATAGGGCTTTCAAAATCATTGTTTCCTTTGTGTTTTGTGTGTCAAAGATAAAGGTGAAAAGTAACAGCATAAGTAAAAGAGAAGGTATGAGATTTTGTTGGCATGAGGAAAAGGGAAGATCTGAACTCCTTGGTTACAAAGGCTTTCCTTTGGTATCCTCTCTGTTTGATGAGGAGGTGTGAAGGAGCTGAATACTAAGGGCATGCTGAGAAGGGTCTACATTATGAGTTATTTGATTGACTGTGTAACACTTGAATTGTCCCCACATGGAAACACAATATGTGAGAATCAGAGAGGAGCTTTGGAAGTGTCTTTGAAAGTGTTGATTTGATGAAGTTTTCTGTTTAAACCCACTGAAAGAGATGTTATTTGTCTCACTTTTGCTCTGTCAAAAGAGAAATGACAAAGCAAAGTGGAATGATCTGAAGGGAGATTTTGCCCTCCATTGGGAGCTTCTGAGACTGCTCCAAAGCACAGAGTGACGTGTGTACATGAGGGTGAAGCTGGCAGGGAAGCTGAGACACCTGGAGACTGCGAAACTTGAGAAATACAAGGAACAGAGACAGGGTTGGCCATGGAGGTGACAGTATTTTCTTGGAAATCCAGGGAAGGATTGTCTAGAATTTGTTGCAATTCTGGCAGTTTCACTGAGTAGAAAACTAAAGGCAGTTGTAGGAAGAGGTCTGCTCACAGATACACAGTGGGCAGGGAGATCTGTTTTTTTATTCCTTCTAATTTAATGATTTTGAGGTTTCTTTATTTAAAAGCCAATTAATCTAGTTTCTTATACAGCAATGCCCATTGTTTTTGTTTAAAAGCCTTACTGGCTTTTTGGAATTCTCACAAGGAAAAGATGTAGGCATTTTAATATTATCTCTGTCTCAGATTCTCATCCCATCCATCTTAAATCTCTTTTCTTTCTTTAATCACCTGCGCACTCTCCTCACAGTTCCCAGGTTTGGTTTGCTTATACAGTGGTTTGCAGTTCACACTTTTCAGACACCTGTATGTCTTATCGGCAAGGCAAATTACATTTCTTTTGTGACCCAAGCACAGATGGCCATATCCAAGAGGACGATCACTTGCGTTCTCCCTACCTTTTAACCAACTTGAGAAGTTTACTGTTAATGAACTGAAGTGTAAGAGTGTATAAGGATGGAGAAAATGCTTTTCTCTCTTTTTGTCACAGTAATGCTTTTCAGTCTGTTGCTTAGCAGACCAATTTTCATGTCTCCTCAATATGTGGAATCAAATTACTTGTGATCATTGTGTAATTAATGTACCCTGAAATTCTGAGAAAATATGACAGACATGTAACCAACCACTCCAGCCAAGCCATTACTTTGAAAGTAGTTTGGTGTTTACATGGCTGGAGACATGACTTTAATAGGTTGGTTCTGCAGTGAGGATATTGATAGAAAACAAAGGCTCAGAAAGGAACGTTGCACATTTTTAATGTACATTGGAGTGTGTTTGAACATGGAAGTATATCCAGTGTCTACACATATATGTATACTTTATGGATAAATGTGTGCTTTCATGAAAATTGCTGTTTGTATAGATGTAGCTATTTTAAAAATAGCTCTCAACTGATTAATATTTAAAATTAGTTTTTAATGTTAATACAGTGAATTGTAAAATATACATGTTCTAGAAAATGTATTTTCATCGCAGACTGCCTCGTCATAAAAGTCTTCCCCTCAAATTCCTACCTTGCTCTCTCCTTGCCCTTCACTCTCCTCATGTTTTAGGCATCTTTTATAGATGAAATCCTCACTCTCTGTTAACATGAGGAGTAAAATAATATGTTGATGGCTTGGATTCCTGTTGGTAGTCAGATGATCCCTGAATAGAGAGTGATGTGCTGTCTCTCTTTCCATAACTGTCCAAGGCTGAGGATTTTATTACATCTTTCAAAATGCCTTTTTACTTTCATCTGAAAATGAAAATAAGTCGAGTAAAATCCAGTTAACATTTGAGGTGGGCTGCACACTCACGCCTATAACATTAAACTTGGTTTCCTAAGGAGTTTTATCTGTTAATACAATTTTTGTTCTTGCTTTATGAAAATTATCATATATGGCTTTTTCCCCCCCTATTTTTTTTCCTTTTTTTTTTCTTTTCCTTTTTTCCTGCCACAGTTTGAAGTGAGAGCATTAAGTTAAATTAATTTGACTTTGGTTGGCAAACAGTAACAGCAGCACTTTAACAGCTGTTTGCTTTCCTGAATTGTCCTTGGTGCTGAAATTGCCTTTGTATCTAAACAGCAAAATGTGTTTATAGGACTAGAGAATATGGAGATAAATTTAGCCTGTCAAACAGATATTATTGGGGCTTTTTGTGATGTGTTTCTGGGAGTGGATCCTGACTACAGTGCTCTAATTCCAAGCTGTATGTGCCTTTGGACATCTTACAGGACTGTTTGTGGAGCTTTTCTGTTTGATTTATGACCTTGCCTGTATGGACTTCTGATCAGATTTTATTCTCATTTAGTGCAAGAGGGGCTAATTATGAAAGTGACAAAGATTCTTTCATTGTGCTAAAGCTTTTGGAATGACAAAAGGGGGCTTTAAATTAAACTGAACTTTAACAAGGCATTTTCACACTGAAGTGATACACACTCTACCACTGATAGAGTAATTCATTTTCAACCCTTTCTGATTCTATAAACACATTGTCTCACAAGATCAGTAATTTTTTACCTCTCAGACTAATGAAGAGTGGATGGTAGACCAATGAATTCTCTTTTTGCAGAGCTGTTTTGACATTCTTAATTTTTTCTTAAATATCAAAGAAAGGACAAAGAGCTGTGATTTTATTGCATTAATATTAATAATCATTTATCTGCCAGAAAAACATTTAAATATCACTTGACATTTGCGGAGAAAGATTAATGTTTAATTTACTACAAACATAGAAATACTTTGAAATAAAAGGAAACGCTTCTGGATTTGTCAAAATGAAAAAAATAAAAGAAAGACCCAACAAAATTAAGACAGGCATTCAGATATAATAAAATATTCTAACCATAGCAGAAGACAAACACATGTTGGTGCCATCTAAAATGTCAATATTTAAATTATCACTTCTGATTGAAAAAATAACACCAACCAGATAGTTTTTTAAGGTCTAATTTAAGCTTTAGCTAAACAAGTATAAATGAGGGTAAGTAGTTTTATGTTGCATTTATCTGGGTACAGTTAAGAGGCCTGCTTTAAATTCTATTACTACTATAAAAACAAACCAATGTAATGTTGTTCCTTGGTATTACGGAATTATATATAGTACGGTGGAGTAAAGCTAGGATGTAAACAGCATTGATATTTCATAATTGTTGGTAGGACTGGAAGTCAAGGAAGGCTTCCAGAACAGGCAGGTGACTAAAAGAAGGGAAAATAAAAAGGCACAGGAGTCATGGAGTTATAAAAGTGAAAATACAGGAAGAAATTTCATTACCTACAGAAGGATCAAACCGCTGTGTAATAAAGAGAAAAGCATGGAAATTGCATTGCTCTACAAAAGCACATCAAACTAGGGACTGCAGCAGAAGAGTAGGTGAACAGGGAAGTTGTCTATAAGTCTAATGTGATGAAATGGCTAAAAATGTACCCAGGCTTCATGAAAGTCTATCTGTAAATTTTATCATGGAGATTATATTATAAGATTTCACTTCAAGGCAATGAAATAATGGGATTAATGTATTGAATGAGAATAACATTTCTAGCCCCCAAACTGTTTTTGTGACTAGATTGATAATGGCATAGATAAGCAAATTCAGTTTCATAATAAACTAAAATAAGACTGCTTCTTGTGCAAAAGCTGTACATAGGACAGATATTATTCAGATCCATTTCGTGTACTGAAAGTCTATCTTTACAGTACCATCATTCAAGGAAATTCTTGTATAAGCTACATAAGCAAAGTTTTAGTTCTAAAATCAGTAATTTATTAGTTAAAGAAGGTTCTTATTCAGGACCCATCTCAAAATGCAAGATGCTTTTATAAGACAATACCTGGAACCTTTCCATTATTACTCTTTAATAAAAAAAAAGCAAATTTGTTTACAGCTCTGATGACTTTGGAGAGGTCCTTGAGAATATACTTTAGCTATAGGCCTCCAGACTGATTGAGATAATTGTTAGACCGGTTAGCCTCACCTCCGTTCCTGGGAAAGTGATGGAACACCTTATCCTTGGTGCCATCTTAAGGCATATCAAGGATAAGAGGGTTATGAGGGGCAGTCAACATGGCTTCACCAAGGGGAAGTCGTGCTTGACCAATCTTTTAGCCTTTTATGAGGAAATAACGCGGTGGATGGATGATGGTAGAGCGGTGGATGTGGTCTACCTCGACTTCAGCAAAGCGTTTGACACGGTCTCCCACAGCATCCTTGCGGCTAAATTGAGGAAGTGTGGTCTGGATGATCGGGTAGTGAGGTGGACTGTGAACTGGCTGAAGGAGAGAAGCCAGAGAGTTGTAGTCTATGGGGCGGAGTCTAGTTGGAGGCCTGTATCTAGTGGAGTGCCTCAAGGGTCGGTACTGGGACCAGTATTATTTAATATATTCATCAACGGTTTAGATGAGGGAATTGAGTGTACTATCAGCAAGTTTGCTGATGACACTAAGCTGGGAGGGGTGGCCGACACGCCAGAAGGCTGTGCTGCCATCCAGAGGGACCTGGACAGGCTGGAGAGCTGGGCGGGGAATAACTTGATGAAATATAACAAGGGAAAGTGTAGAGTCCTGCATCTGGGCAGGAACAACCCCAGGTTCCAGTATAGGCTGGGGAACGACCTGTTAGAGAGCAGTGTAGGGGAGAGGGACCTGGGGGTCCTGGTGGACGACAGGGTGACCATGAGCCGACACTGTGCCCTTGTGGCCAAGAAGGCCAATGGCATCCTGGGGTGTATTAGAAGGGGGGTGGTTAGTAGGTCGAGAGAGGTCCTCCTTCCCCTCTACTCTGCCCTGGTGAGACCTCATCTGGAATATTGTGTCCAGTTCTGGGGCCCTCAGTTTAAAAAGGACAGGGACCTGCTGGAGAGAGTCCAGCGCAGGGCAACTAAGATGATTAAGGGAGTGGAGCATCTCCCTTATGAGGAAAGACTGAGGGAGCTGGGTCTCTACAGTTTGGAGAAGAGGAGATTGAGGGGTGACCTTATTAGTGTATATAAATATATAAAGGGGGAGTGTCACGAGGATGGAGCCAGGCTCTTCTCAGTGGCAAACAATGAAAGGACAAGGGGTAATGGATACAAATTGGAGCACAAGAGGTTCCACTTAAACCTGAGAAGAAACTTCTTCTCAGTGAGGGTGACGGAACACTGGAACAGGCTGCCCAGGGAGGTTGTGGAATCTCCTTCTTTGGAGACATTCAAGACCCGCCTGGACACGTTCCTGTGTAACCTTATCTAGGTGTTCCTGCTCCGGCAGGGGGATTGGACTAGATGATCTTTTGAGGTCCCTTCCAATCTCTAACCTACTGTGATACTGTGATACTGTGATACTGTGAGATCAATTCATTTTCCTCAACTGGCAGTTTGTAGTTATACTGTGGAAGGACTCCCCTGGAAAAAATGGTGATTCTGTGTATGAGACACCAAACTAGGCCAAATGCAGAATTACAGCATTACTGTACAGGAATAAATCAACTGCAATATCCTCACTTGTAGGATGAAATAACTGTTTTGCCTTTTGCATTATAAGAATTCTTAGGGTCTTTGCAAAATGTTGGCTATATTGAGTAGGAAGCAGTACATAAGTAGGGCTACCGTAATGTACTTAATAAAAAATATGCATCTTTTAACATTTTTAACCATTTGCAGTGTGTTGCTTGCACAACTATGATGTCTAAGTAACAGGCAAATATGAGAATGTCTTATATTAGAGGCTATAGGTAGCAATAGATTTCAGTGCTGTACATTGAACATCAGGACCTGACACGGTGCTTATTTAGTGATATGCTTCTCCCTGCTGCACACCAATAATGGTACATCCCACTGTGGTACTGTAGTTCATATTCCCTGCGTGCCTTGGTGGTTGCTTCCATGGCTAAGGCTGCAGACGTTGTTATAATTTATTTATTAACTGATTAATTATTTATTTAGGATAGCACCCATTATATGCTAAGTGACTTCCAAACAGAAATTTACCCAAATGCTTTTCCTTTAAGAGCTTTGCTTTGAAAGATATGATACATACACAGTCGTGAGATATCCATTTTGATAGCATATAGTTTGTTAAAGAAAGCTGAGTTTCATGACACTAATGTAAAACCATTTTGTATTCTGATTTTCCTTTAACAAAGGTTCATTGCCATGGGTAAATAACTGCCCATCTGTCATGGGAGGCCTTTGGGGAATTGAAGAGGGAGCAGAGAAATCTGTAGTCTGCTGGTTTTTCTGGGGATTTGGTGGTTTTGGTGTAGAGGATGTGCAATGGCGATCTTAGGGCCCGGGCCTTTGATTTTTAAGCATTCTTGACACTTCCTACAATCTAAGTTGATGCATTGCTACTTTACTGCTGCCACTTTCTTTCATGTATTGACATGATTTTGTGATTTCTTTTTGGAGAATTTGTCCTGCAGTCTTGGGTGCAGCTGATATTTTTGTAGTTCATAAGAATCTCACAGATGCAGGAGGAGTCAAGAGACTGACTCCATTTTATCCATCGTTTACAATTTCCATACACAGCAAGCACTGACATTTTATTCCTTACAGCTCCAGTTTTTGGGTCCTTTAACTGAAAGCATCAGTATTTATTAAGGGCAGTTTTGAAATAAAGCTGCAAGTGCTTAAATACCAGTCTCTTCTGATGAAAACTATTGAATTCGTCCATTATGATTTTCTTATATAATTTCTTTATACATATGTAAGCCTGCTTTTTGCACAATTATATTTGTGGTATATTGGAATATCTGCTGCTTGTTTATTTTGATGTTTTGCTCGTGGTGGTTTTTGAGCAATGATGATCACTAAATCTTTAGGATTGCTTGCTGCTGTTTTCCATTGTGCTCCAAACTTGGTTCACCATTAATACTGCTCCTTTTAATGAACATAAAACCACAGAAAATATTTCAGTTCAAGTTGCTGGTGTTGTCTTTCTAAATGATATTTACTCATCAGGATTATCTTTAGTGGAAAGTTGCAAGTGATGTAAGTAGGTGGCTTTTGGAATTAACACAATAGAAGTTTAAAATTGCTTATGTTGTGAAATCTATAATAGCATCCTCATTGCAGGAGGAGCCTTAAAAATACTGCTGAATAAATTTTAATCCCTGTATTCCCATTTGCCCCTCGCTCAGATATCACTCTAACAGCAGTGACCAGGAAAAGTACTTTTTCTGAAAGGAAGAAATCTTAAAACTATCCATGGGTGTCACTCTCCAGACTACTAAAATACGAGAATCCTTTTGTAGCTGTTTTTAATAAAATAAAATAAATCACAGGATTTTTCCCTCCAATGTTCTTGTCTTTTCTATTTAACTGATAAGTTTAAGGTAGTTTGTGCCTCTTTCCTTTTTCAACCAGTCCTTCCTTCTTAGTGGTTTCAAAGTCCCTTAATTTTCTGTGTGGAAGACAGAACTTGTACTTTCTTTGCTTTCTTCAGAGGATAGTCCCACAGCTTTCTGTTAATCTAATGATTCAGATTAGCTGCTGTGGGTGATAAATTCTGCCACCTAGTCTAATAGAGACAAAAGTTTTAATTTATAAAACTCCTGTGAGTTCTTCAGTCTAGGCCACGCTGTTCTTTAATATTTCTGCAATTTAACTCAATACAAAGGAATTGCAGATTTATTCATTGCACTTGTCTGGGATCTCTGAGAAAGAATAACTGTGATCCCTGATTTTATGGGCAGAATGCCCTCAGGAGATGGGTCTAGTCCACTTTACTTATATTGCTTGTCAGGAAAAATACTGGAAAGAGTGGAAGTCAGACTGTGATGCTGAAAAAGGTGTCAAAAATCAGATTGTGCTCCCATTGTTATGAATTAGGGGCAACACCATTAAAATCAATATTGTTACTCTAATAGTATAGTTAGAAAGGATAAGAATGTCTGTAAGTTTCAGATTTGCTACTCTTCTCCGTATTATTGCTGAATCATTGGGTGGTGAAACAAACAAATGGAGACCCAGAACTCTTACATTCCCAAAAGATCAATACAATTAATTTTAATGCTATATTCATAGATAAACAAGAAAAATGTAAAAGCTACAATTTTCATGTGCTGTCAGTCACAATTCACATTGTCTAATTGCAACAAAAGCTCAATCAGAATCACTCAGCCTCTGTAAGTTATGCAGTAATACATACAGCTCAGTTGCCCTCCCCAGTGATGGGAGCTGGCCTCTTACCAATTGCTGGTAGGAGCTAAGGTAGTCATTGTTCTTGTACTATCTTTTTCACAAAAGCCACTGATGTACTGTCCTTTGGATGTCACTATTGATAAAAATTTAAACCGTGATGGAAAGTCAACAATTTCAACTTGTTTAATTGAGGAGGGAGTATGGAAAAAAGACTACAAATAAAGGTGAAGCATCCAGCTTCTCGAGCAATGTACTTTTGAAATGCTTTTCCTGTTTGATAGTCGAACATATTTCAAAGGCGATTTTGATTTTGACTGAAAGCTGAGTCATGACTGTTGCTATTGTTTTAAGTGAAGCATCAGGTTCTTAAAAGAATATTACATTGTTGAATAGTACTGAGGTTTTTATCCAAAACACTGATTTAACTGTAGCAGAATGGATATTTCTTTTATTACAGAGATTAATATATGCAATTTTAACAGTTTGAAATAGACTGTAATTTGCAGGGTGTTGTATGTGTGGTTTTTATGGTACTGTCTTTTTAATCAAATCATGTGCTTTGCAGTTTTGAGAATTTTGCTTTGGCATATGCTTTGGGCAGGAGCCCAGAAGAAGATGAAAAGCCAGTCACAGGTTGTCAGAGATCATCACTATTTCATTAGGGGCTTTTTTCTTATTTAAAAATCAACTGCTATTTAGAAGTTGTTTAGGACTTCTCATTGAACTCTCTTCACAGACAAAGACCATAAAGCCAGCGGGAATTTACAACTGATATTCTTCAGTGCACTCCTTACAGAAGATATCTAATCTTTCACTCAAGAGAAGTTTTTACAGATCTCAGTCTCTGTAGTTCCTGTTCCATTTAAAATGTATCAATAGAATTTCTTTGCATTATCATCTCAGTGTGTTTTATGATCTTTAAGGATGAATTCCATAGAGGGTATTCCATATTCTGCATTTAATCTTATTTTGTGAAGTACAGAGTTGCATGAAAATATAGATTAGTACTGTTTGGCTATCTTAAACTTGATCCCAGCTTCAACTGGTGAAAATGATGTATATTCCAGTCTGTTCCATGGTTGTTTTTGTTTAAAGAATTTGTATAGATTGAAATGCAGCTGCAAGTATATTAGTGATTTTCTATTGCTTTCTTGTCAAGATTTTTATTGTGTGGATGAAAAATAGCATTTCAAAACCTGGCAGCATATTGACAAAAACAGAAGAGCACTTTGTGTAATTCTCCTTTGAAAAACTACCTTTTTTAGAGACAGAGATTGCCCCTGCTACTTCCATTCATATGTATCTTGATCAATAGATTTATTGATAGCTTTTAGCCAAGATTTAATTCTTTTTTTCTCCTCAGTTCACCATGGTGCTCACTTTTCTGAATTAAGAAACTAGAATTAGGCTCCTATAAGCAAGGCATACAATATGCAAGTGCTCTAGGTGTAAAAGGAGGCATTTGACCTTTTGTTGCTAATCTGTGACAGGTGCAGGCTATTTTCTTCCAAATGGTGTTAATTTTCATGTGCAAATCCACCCCCTGAAACCTGCATTCTATATATCCACCACAGGGGAATTGGTGGTCATCATGAGTACTGTAATGGACAGCTGAGAGGGATAATCACTGATATTTCAGCACATTTATGCTTGCGACTCAGTTGGTTTTAGTGCACTTCTGTTTTCACTGCTTATTAGGGAGGCTGAAGTTAGTTATTCATTGGTGGACAAAAAAAAGTGTCTGAGAAAGTTCATGTGCAGCGAACAGCACATTGTTACAAATTAGTTTCCTTTACCATTTCTGGCAAACTCATTACAAAGTAATCGCGCCCTGCACTGAAGTGCACTTCCTCTGGGACCAATAACTGTAAATAAGCAGGGCTGCAAGCTGGCTGATAAGTTGTTGTTCTGAAGATAACGGTCCTTTTTAGCAGAGTGTTTGACCTTTTTCTTTATATTGCCTGAGGCTTGTCTAAGACCCTCAAGGTCTATTTTTCATCTTAAAATTCTCTGTAGGAAAGCACAATGTGTGGTTTAAGAAGATTTTAGGATTGCTTAACATATCTATATTTTCTTTTCTAGTGTTTTTATGATAATTGTTAGAATGCTTAGTAAGTTTACCCAGCATTTTCTTAAGCAGGTTTTCTTTCTTTGTGCAAAGTACACTTTTTATTGATGCAGGAAGCAATATACATTAATATTTTATGAGGACTAAGTGTATGTTGCATGATTAATAAAATAGTAACACTGGGCTTTTTGCGGACTTTTAAAGAAACTTGAAACGTGCTATTGACCCTTTTTGCTCTCCAATTTTGAGTGTGTTGTACTAAACATTACTCTATAAAGCAATTTCAGCGAATACAATCAAGAATTTCAGCTTGAATGATTAAAGAAAAGTATGTCTCTCTTTTCTCAGTTGCCAAGAGTATTGAACAGAACTGTGACTGAAAATGGAGCATGTCTTAAGACCCCAAGGCTAATTGGAAGTCAGTTTATAGACACTTGGGAATTTGATTTGTTCACATCTTCCATCAGTTAAAAAAGATCTGTGCCTATATTTCTGTAAAGTAAAATAATAATAGGAAAAAACGTAAACTCCTGTAACTAACTTTAGAGTGCATAGGAGAAAAAGTCCATAATATTTTGTGAAGTCCTAGCTATACTAATAAAATGCTTATTTTACTTTAGAATATAGTCAGAAAGCCACTGGACAACCAGATGTGCACCCAAACTTTAAAATACATGCATACATATATATATAAGTAAGCAAGAATTGTCTTAGAATGTCAATAAGCTCAGATCTCACCGATTATTTTCGGCTTTTTTCCCTTGCAGATCACATTACTCAACCAGTTCATTAACTTTACATGCACCTTAAACAACATTCTTAATATCTTATGTTGTATAAGATTAATCCCCAAATATAAAGCTAATCACAAATTATGGAGTGAGGGTGCTGTAAAAAATGTTGTATTATCTGGTAGATACAACTTCTGTATTTGTTGAATGGAGTGGTGAGGATTTTGTGCAGGCATGAACCCAAAGTAAAGCAAAGCAAAGATTATGTTTTAGTAGTGTGAGACTTTTTCCTTTGATTTTTAAAGAGCATACTTAAGCAATGTGGTGATGAACAGACTTACTGATATCACAAGTTACTAGACTAGCAATGTACACAGAATAAAAGCTGTGCACGGAAGTGTTTCACAGTAGTTATATCGAGACTGAAAACTATTGATAGTTTCATTACACAAACCTGGTGCTATCTGGCTTTCTCTTAAATTTAATATCATTTCAGCACAGGAACTGTCCACCTCAAGTACTGCAGAGCAGAGGGTTTGTATTGTGTAATTATAGAGATTCCTGTAACACAGGAGAAACTTACTGTCTAACCATTCATTACAGTCTTCTCTCTTGCCATACATTTAACAAAAAGAAAAGAGAAATCAGAAGGAATCTTATAGAGCTATTAAAAATAAAAGCCATTTAGAAAATAAAATGTTTATTTTCAGTGTTAAAATGTTAAAATGGTGTAACGGCTATAGCATAAACAATGGTTTAACTCCGGTTTTGTAGTTTCTAATGCACTTCACTGTGTAACTTGTCATATTGGAATATAATTCTCACAATTAGAATAAAGCTATTTCCCATGATTACAGCAGTTTGAAGGCAGTATGTAAAATTGTTAGCTTTGCTTATGAGATTAAGGTTGGGATGTTTATTATTTTATCTTGGACACCAAAAAATGCTTTTCAGTGGCATTATCAGTTTGCTACAAAGCAGCTCTTACAGCGAGGAAGTGTTTTATTCTTACACTTCTACGCTTCTTTGTACCAAAACTTCTGTCTTGTTTAATGACATTGCTATGTGGGTTGAAACTAGGCTGACAGATTGTGAGCAAAGGCTCTGATATTACAAACAATAGTCTATTGTGCACCAGGAACTTGTTGAATTGGTTACCAAAGGCATTAGTGTTTGATCCAGCCTATTCAGCAGCTAGAGACAGAGAAGAAATAATGTGCCAATGAAACATACAAATGATACTGAACTGCAAATGGCTGCAGGTGACTATGGCAGCTGACGTGTACCATGAAGGAGCCTAGTAACAGGCTGCTCTGTAGGCAAAAAGTAGTAAAGTGAGATTCGATTCACCAAAGGAGATAATGCTGCACTGAAAGGGGGCTGAGTATTCAAATCAAATATTACAGATGAAGATAGAAAACAGTGTTGGGAGTCCCAGGGAGTAGTGCACACAATGATTAAATTGTTAAAGATTCTGCTGGCTTTGAGGAAATTATATCACATTTACAGAGCAGACTGGCTTGGAGGGGTTCTAGCATAACAGCCCTTTGCCATCCGTGATTTCACTGGCATCGGTACAACTCTCCAGTAGCTAGCTAGTTTAGGGGTACTATGACTCCGTAAGGTAGTTCTGAGTGGGCCATCTGTCCCCATACAGTTCAGATCAGTTTGATGCTGAAAAACAAGCTGAAATAGGCAATAGGTCAGAAATCAAGCTCTCATTTTGCCCTGTCTTTATTTACACAATAATCTTTTAGCATCCTATGCCTTGCAGTGAAACTTTTTAATGATCTGTGAACTTAAAATATAAATTTAATTGCTTCTGTGTCCTTCTTTGGGAGAAATTCAATCAAAATCTGCACTCTGGTCTGTCTGTAGATAATCCATATCTGAAATTGCTGGGATCACTGGGAGGCATGTATACCTAGTAGTTTACATGCTGGACCTAGTCCACAGTTTGTGTTCATCCAGGCTGCTGCCTTAATCTTAGAGGATCCACCAGAACCACATGTACAACTCAGGCTGCAGTGACTTGGTGTGTCCACACACTAAGCTTTGTCCAGAGAGAGCTCAGACCTGTGAGGCAACTGTAATGCAGCCTGTGGGGTTGAACAACTTGGGCCTGAATTCTGAAATAAATGGGGAATTTTGTTTTCCTAACAATGTCATATATGCGTGATATTTAATAAAAAATACAGTAAAAAGAAGTAATTTAATTAAAGGTATTAGAATGCAATAGCTTGATTTTACATTCTTACTTACTTTGCAAATAATATGTAGGAAATAGTAGCTATAATAGCAATAATAGCTATAATAGCAATTAAGCTATGTTGGTGTGAATGATGGTGGTGGTTTGACCCCTGTGGCAGGAAGTGCACTTAGGTGTGTAAGGGACTTAACCTGAAGCCTGTGATGACCATGGCTGGCTGCTGGGTGCCCACCCAGCCTCTCTGCCACTTGCCCTCCTCAACATCTCAAGGATGAGGGTGAAAGCAAGATGAAAAAGCTCATGGGTTGAGATAAACACAGGAAGAAGTCTCACCAATTGCCATCACAGGCAAAACAGACCTGACTGAGGGAAAACTGATTTATTTCCAGTTAAAATAGGTTTGGATAGTAAGAAACAAAGGAGAACTAAAACAACACCTTCCCCCCAGCATTCCCTCATCCCAGGATCAACTCCACTCCCCCTGCAGCAAGCAGAAGCAGTGCAGGGGGATGAGGGGCTGTGGTCAGTCTGTAATCATTCCTCTCTGCCATACCTCCCTCCTCACACTGTTCCCTTGCTCCATCCTGGGCTCTTCCCATGGGGACTGCAGATCCTGTCAGGAGACCCTGCTCCAGACTAAGTCCTCCACAAGATACTGGTCCTTTGGGAAATATCCACCTGCTCCCGCCTCTTCCCACAGGATCCCTTTCCCCCCTTCCAAACCCTGGTTCTCCTCAGACTCCCTCACTCCTTTGCCTATGTGGTGGTTTTACCCTTCCTTAAATACATTACCAATGAGGTGCCACCATGTTTGCTGAGGGGCTCGGCTGTGCCCTGTGGTGGGGCAGTTGTGGTGCCGGCTCCAACCGGCTGCAGCCGGTTACCTCAGAGCTCAGCCCTGCGGCTCCCACTGCCAGCACCCAGGCACGGACACCTGATGTAGCAAATGACAAGATTTATGTTTGGCAGAGGTATTCTAGCTGTTAAATATTGCTTTTTTGTTTTCTTTTTTTGTTGTTTCCTCCCTCTCCCCCCTCCCCAAATATTTCAAATGGCAAATGTCTCCTTCAGGCAAGCGTTTAGGAACAGATTGTTAGCATGAAGAGGTTTTCTGCAGAGGGAATTAGGCAAGAGAATTTTCTCAGAAGAAGAATGTGGGTAGGAAAGTACAGGATAACATTAAAAATGAGGAAGATTAAAAATGTTCAATTAGTAAATCCAGAAACAATTTAGGATAAGGAAGAAATCCTTCAAATATATTGGTGAACAGGGTTGAAAATGAGGTTTTCTTGCTGCTTTTGAGACTTGTGATCATACTAATAGCCTGTTACCAATGACCAGTCACATTGACTGAAGTGGACTTGCTGAGCTCAAGTAGCTCAGATAACACTATAAATAATTATTTGAACCAAAAAGTACCTATCTAACCCCCAAATATATATATAACCCTCAAAATCTATCTGAAACCATAAACCTGGTTTTTCAGTGCTATTTTTTTTCGACAGGTATAATATAGCATGTGAGCTAAAGCATGGCCCTGTCTTGACAAGACCTGGTGAGATGGGTTTTGGATTGGGTCAGGAAAATGTGAAGTCTCATTTTTGTAGTGTAGAAATGAAATGGACAGTCAAACCCATGTCTTTAAAAGACTTGGCAGACTTCAAAGGAAAAATGCCAATTTAACAATTTAAAAGCACTTAGCAGGTTTTCCGAGTGCTGAACTTCATTTCTGTAGCCAGGGTGGTTGCTTGCTAAATAATGCCATAGGGGACAATGTAGCTCTGACTATATTTAAAAATATTATTCCATAAAATTCACCAGGAAAAAGCTGAATCAAAATCTTGCAGCCTCTGTGTCTTTGGAAGCAGGTGATAGTGGCTGCAGATAACGAAGTATTAAGGTAGCTTTGGAACCACAAAGAAAGTGAAGGCTGGCCCATCTATGGGGAGAGGGGGATGCTCAGAGCACCAGCCAGAGGTGCAAATCTGGAATTCTTTCATTTTAGAGGTGCTTGAACATGAGCAGCAAATGGAAAGAAAGAAATCCATACAGGTGGGGGCTAAAAGAGGTGCAGAGTAGAGGGTAGGGGGAGGAAAGGGAAATAAAAGTATGTTAGGACACTTAACTAGAATACTCAGATAAGTGAAGACAAAAAGTCAATTTGATCAAATAATAAAAATCCAAATCATCTTCTTTTTGGTGTATTAATATGCATGTAGCTCACTGGTATGTGTTTTATTTTGTGACTATGATAAAGTCTTTTAATAATAATTCTGAACTGTTACAAGGGTTATTATACTAGTATGTTTTAATCAACAGAGGCAGAAGGTTTTACATTTTTTCTCAGTGTAGTTCCAGTCATTTATTAATATTCATTCTTTTTCATATGTTCTTGGTAGGTAACCTTGGACGGGTGGACCACATCACAGAGTTCGAGTATGACCTGTTCATTAGACCAGATACTTGTAACCCACGCTTTCGAGTTTGGTTCAACTTCACTGTTGAAAATGTAAAAGAATCACAGGTAAGTGATACTAAAGTAGATAGCATGCTAGCTTTAAAAATTGCTTACTCCAGAATATAATTTCTTAAACAAAAAGAGATGATATCCAGCATTTGTAAGTATAAATTTGCTGTAAAATATATTTTTGTTCTTTGAATTTTTATAAGTAAAAGGAGACCTCAGCATGACTGGATATCACTGTGTTTTTCAGCTATCCAAGACAGGACATAATTACAAAGACAGCATAACATTTTCCACCTAACTGGAGTTGTATTAGTAAAGGCTGCAATGTTTATGTTAATATGTACAAACCATGTTTTCATGTTAATACATGAAAAAGAAGTCCATCATAGCTGTTCAAGTATTATCACTCATTTAATACATGTAGAACAATGCATTACTCTAGTGACTTGTAGTAGAAGAGGAGGTGCCTGCCAATGTGTCCCTTGTGAAAGAGGTTTGAATGTAAAACAACTTGATAGGCAACTGTTTCACCTGCTTTTAAAAGATGTTTATTTGCAGTAAAAATATTGCATGAGAAAGAAACTTTCTTGCTCCATTTTCTCACTTATCTTTAAGAAAAAAAAAGAAGTTACGTACTTTGACAAATCAAAAAAGATTTAATTCCACTTTTCACACCCACCTTGTTTTATTCTGGTGTTCTGTCTTAGTTTATCATAATCAGACTGTCATTTTCACTTAATGGAAAGAAAACATATTTAGTAAGAGAAAAAAACTGCAGAAGCTTGATATTGGTATTCTGCTAGACTAATATCTTAATACCCACCACAGCACCATTCCTGTTACAACTAGAAATCATCAAATTGTTTATCTGTTTTCCTGGAGCCTGATACTTTATCAGGCAGACCCTTTCCTCTGCTGTGCCTTACTCAACTGTGATCAAATTATATAGTCATGAGAAGAATGGGAATCTGTCTCAAGGAGGCAAAGAGATCTGGTAGAAAGATACAATATATATCTAGTGCTTACAGGATATTTGTTTTCATGGTTGTCTACATGAAAGAGAATGGTTTCACTATTAAGTTTGACTTGTGAGGTCTGTTTTTTTAATGTGTGTTCCTATAATCTTTTTTTCATCTCTCCAATTTCCGTTAAAATGAGACCTGCGTGAACGTAATCTAGTCTGGAACCTTTTTTAGGTCTTTGTAGTAGAGGACACTGGCAGTATTAGTCATTGCAGCTGAGCTATATTGAATGAATGTTAGAAATTGCTACATCAAACATACTGTGCAATCTGGTTTGTGAATTTTATTTATATTCTTTTATGTATTACTAGAAAATAATAACAAGGAAACTCATACCACTCAGTATTGCTTAAAAATGTTGCACTAATACACAGGTAACTTTGATCACTTTACGTGTAAAAGTAGATCTTTGAATAACTCTGTATAAATAATTACATGTATAATATTATATTTATTTTTGATGTAGCATATAGGTGATATGGGACAAAGGCAGATCCAGTTCTGGTTTCAGCCATTTAAATGAGGATTCAAAAGGAGTAGCTGCTTTTATTACTTTTATATATCATCTGTATTACATTTCCTTCTCATTGTTCTTCATCCTTCCACTTCAAATTCTTACACAACTTTACTTAGATTTGAAGACTTTCTTCTCATTCTATCTCCACTTTTGTGTGATGTTTCACACGAAAGCTTTTGCTCAGAAATTGATTTCAGTAGTATCATCAAGAAAACAAGAAAACTTCCTTCATTTGCTGCATTAGAAATCATCCATTCTGTTTTTCTCTTGTTGCATCAGACCAGTCATTGACATCCAGCAGTGGACAAATGGATTAAAAAATGAATGAAGAAGACACAGTGTAAAAACAACAGCCATACAAATTCTAGGAACACAGAATTGTACTGTATGTACTTATGATTTAGGTTTCAGTTCTACTACAATAGTAGTGCAGTTTTTGCAATTTGATTAGTGTAGTATTTTGTTATGAATGCAGCGATAGATAAAAGACCTACTAGAACTTTAAGTCTTTAAGTATTTTTCCACTGTGGGGCTTTTCGACTTTCATCATAAATGAAAATGTGAACAGCAGGTTGAAGGAGGTGATCCTGCCCCTCTGCTCTTGTGAGACCTCACTTGGAGCACTGTGTGCAGTTCTGATGCCCTCAACATAAGAAGGACATGGAGCTGTTGGAGCAAGTCCAAAGGAGGGCCATGGGTATGTCAAGGGGGCTTGAACATCTCCTGTATGAAGACAGGCTGAGAAATTCAGGGCTGTTCAGCCTGGAGAAGAGAAGACTGTGTGGAGACCTCATAGCAGCCTTCCAGTATCTGAAGGGGGCCTACAAAGATGCCGGAAAGGGACTCTTCATCAAGGACTGTAGTGATAGGACAAGGGGTAATGGGTTTAAGCTTAAACAGGGGAAGTTCGAGTTAGATATAAGGAAGAATTTCTTTACCGTGAGGGTGGTGAGGCACTGGAACAGGTTGCTCAAAGAAGTGGTAAATCCTCTATCCCTGGCAGGTTGGACATGGGCCTTGGGCAACATGATCTAGTGAAAGGTGTCCCTGCCCATGGCAATCGGTTTGGGAACTACACGATCTTAAGGTCCTTTCCAACCCTAAACATTCTATGATTCTATAAGTGAATCTGTCCAGCCCTTTGATAATTAGCCTGGATTTCCAAGGGCACAAAGCTTATATGATCATACTGTCTACTTGCTAGCCAAGGTTTTTGTGTGGCTCTTTATCTTTCTCCTCTCCTTTCTCTTTTAATACCTTAACTCTTGGGCAGTTTCAGCACCCCTTGACAGGGATTCCTGTAAGTTTCAGGAAAGCACTCTGCCTAATGGGCAAGAGACCTGTTAGTGTTCCCGCTGGCAGACAGGCTACATTAAGAGATCATTTGTTATTAAACATCAGAGAATCCACAGAGGAGATGCCTAGGAGAAAATACATATTGGAATTTGCATTTTTAAGATACTAGAGAATACAACCATGAAATCCAAATCCATAGTAGTTTTGCTTCTTGCAGAACTTCTTTGTTTTATTATTATTATTCCTCTTCCAGTTCCTTCAATATCTTCTTTATATTGTGGAACTTAAAATTCAATGGACAATTTTGAGTATACTAACATCCCAACTTGCAGAGAAGGGACTGTAGTCCCTTTGCACTGTTCCTGTCTTGGTATAGACAGCTGAAAATTGCAGCAGCCTTTTGTTGCTGAATCACTATGGAAACTCATGCCCAGTGTGTTTTTCACTATCATACATAAGTCTTTTTCAGAATGATTGCTTCCTTCCTCCTGTTAGTTATGTCTTAGGTTGCTGTTGTGCTTCAGTAACAAGGGCAGGTAATAGAGCTAAGTTCTGTAGCTCAGCAGGGAGAACCCTAATCTTTTCAGAATTATTTTTAGACTTTTATTATAAACTCAGTGTTTTTTAGATGTTCATTTCCCTATGTTAACGGTAGAACCAGTAGGCTATTTTTTTTTATTATTTATTTAGAAATTGGTAAATTAACTTCTTCCCCATTATGATTTGGATTTCTACATCAGACATTTTATGCTGTTAGTTTTATTTTATAATTTTTCAGCAAGGAAAACGTCAAAAGAAATAGCTAATGGCTAATATTTAGGGGAAAGAGGAACCATCATGTAAGATACCTGAGAGATGTAAGATTTGATCTTTTGGTTTCTTTACATGGTTTCTGACTTGTGAGTCCATTGATAAGATCTGAATTGTGGATTTTTTTTTCCTCATTTGTTCAGTGAATTCAGTTAACACCAGTATTGGGAAAAAACCCAAACTGAAACACAAAGAAACTGATATGTTATATATAAGGACTATAATCATGCAATGACTACTCTTACAGTAACCATAAAAGAGAGAATAAAGGAAATAGGATTTGCTGTGGAACATGTGGTCTCATGGGCAAAGCCTCCAATTTCTTTATAGATATACATGTCCCAGGCTGCTATTTCTGGATAATGCTCTTTATTGGGCAGGGTTTGTTTCCTATTAACTTCAGTCATGGCCCTTACAACACTGTCTGCAATTTGGCTAAATTCCTTCTCTATGCAACCAGAAATTGGATGAACAAATGTCATTTCCAAATTGCATTGCAAGTATTTATAAATAGACACTTCTTCAGGTGCATGATTACTTCTGAACTAGAATGTCTTTAAAGGTGCTAGTAGCAACAGTGATTCATTTGAGATTTGGGTAAAAAAAAAGAAATGTGTGTACGTGCAAAAAATTATAAAAATATGCTAGTTTACCAATATTGGAGGATATTACAGGTGAAAAGAATGATTATTTCTCTTGGGGCTGTAGCCAGAAATTTTAAAGCAGCTGAGGCTCACTGTTCCAGACACTGGAGCCACATTAGAAAAGAATCTCTGTCCTGGAAAAGAAGCAATAGGAGTTGCATACAACTGAAGTGATGAAAGTATTAAAAATATCTGTGAGGGTTTTAATTACTCTAACAAACAACAGCCATATTATACCAATCAGTAATGCACATCTAGGCCACATGGTATATTCTGTATGTGTATGTACCCTGAACAACTCTGCTGTGATGAATCATGTTCAGAAATGGTATTTTCACTGAGATTAAAAAAAGAATTTCCAACATAAGGGGTTTCCTAATAGTGCCAAATTTTGTTCTGTCAGTGTTGATAAACACATTTGGAGTTCTTCATCACAAAGGTGCTGACAAAATATACCAAAAAAGATGAGGATAAGAGCAGGCATTTGGCGGCTAAGATTTGATCATTACTTACAGTTAATAAATCAATCCATATTGAGGTCAAAATCAAAGAACCAAATGTTATTTACTTCAAAGGCATTCTCCCTGTTACATCAGTTGCAGTTGGATTGAGGCTAGAATTTTGACTCAAGTTTTTTTTTTTTTTTTTTGTTATGTATATGTATATGTATAGATCAGGGAAAAGGATAGCCTGTTCTTCTTTAGGAATTTAAATGGGATGCCAGGGTCAGACGGATAATGCCATATCAGGACATTTTTATGAAGGTGTGGAGCTCTCATTATACAGTTTTCCTTTTATTTTGTCCTGCACTGTTTTTTAAAATATAAAAGGCTGTAAAATCTTTGTTGTCTTTAATGGAATAGTTTTTCAGGAGCAATTTATTATTGAAATTAGGTTTTATAGTTTGTTCAGGCCTCTTATTACTGTCCTAAAGCAATGCAATGGTCCTTAGTGGACAACTGTTTGTGATGTTTCAGAAGTGATTGTTTAAAGATATGAATCATATGCGTATAGGGAGAGATAATGTCTTTCATTGTACCAGTGGATGCATTTTGGAGGAACACAGAGAAAGAAAAGAAAAACAGGCATGTTCTGAAGTACTCTGCTTCTTTTGTTGTAAGAACTCATCGTGCAGTTAATTCCTTCAGAAGCTGCCTCCAAAGTAAGATGGAGTACGGATGACATCAAAAGCAGTCTACAGTTGGAAACAGGCTACCGTTTTACTTTTTTCTTCTTAAGCAGACATTCTTCACTCTACTGTCATTTGATGATATGTTACTGGTATCAAGATGCATTATAACATCTAACAGTCTTTCCAGTTTATCTTTTTAGAAGACAGCTATTTTCTTTACTGTGCATCAAAGGCTATATTGCATTTACCTGGCTTTGGAAAATGCATGTATAAAAGTTGATACGTTTTTGTAAAGGTGTACAGTTTCTGAAATTTGGAAGAATTCCATAATGCATTTTTTGACTTGCAACGTTTGCTGAGAAATCTGATATATGTATTTTCTGTACTATGTTTAATTACATATACCTTATTACTAAATTGGTCATAAGGCATTCATTGTTGAATAGTTTACATCAGTGATGTATTAATACTCTTAATGGTCAGCTCCTGTAATCTCTCTAATTATGTCTTTGTAATAATTTATGAGGAGAATTGCTACGTTATTTAAATTTTACCTGTTTTGGGAGCCCCCAGCTGTTACACATCTTTATGTGCTCTTCTTATGTTAATTTTTAGTGTGCTAGAAAGGTACCTCTACCTCTTCCTTTATTTTGGTATTTTATTCACCCTTTGCACAGGAAGACAAAAAATTATCTTTTTCACGTATCAGTTTTGTTTTGTCATACAAATTTATTTTGTTTCCTGACTTCTGGTACTTCTCTTGAAAAGATTAAAGGTAAAGGTTACTGATACCTGTGCACTGCTTATCCAAGCACATTTAATGAATTAAAGTTTAGAAATTTGAAACTTGGGAGTTTCTAACAAATAGGCATATAGAACTAATAAGCAATCTGAACAAAGCCATAACTTTAAATGGTTTCACTGATATGTCTGAATATAATGTGTGTAAGAACTTAATTACTAAGAATGCATATGTTGGACTGGTTTTTGTACTCCATACAACTGTCCTGCAGTTTAAAACAGCAGAGTCTTACTGGGACTCAGGTGAAGAGTTGTTCAATCTTGTTTGGTTCCAAATCAGAATTTTTAAAGCATCAGACAAGGTCTGTGTTGCTGAAAATATAAGTTTTAAAATTATATTGCTCTTATAAATCTGGTTTTAAAGAAGGATTTGGTTAGCTTTTAAAAGACGCTTTCTATCTAGCAAGATGTGGCATTTCTTGTTCAAATAGGTACATTGTTTTAAATTTGCTGTTTAGAGAAAATGCACATAATTGCCTAATTCCTTTCCTCTCTTTTTATGCACTTACTAAATAGTAAACGATTAAACTGAAATTCAATTTTGTATGAAAACTTTGTGGCAGAAATTTATATCTATTACTGTTACTGCCAGGAAGGTAAAACATGGATGTAGACATAAAAGGAAATCTTCATGCAAATAAACAGAGTGCAATATAAATATAGGAATGTTCCAGAATGGTTGATTTTTAAATTTATTCCTGCTGCTAGATTGATCTACTACCAAAGAAAATTAAATATTTATATTTAAATTTAATGCAAAGTTTTATGGGTGGGTAGTTTAGAGGTTTGGATTTTTTGTTTTTTTTTTTTTTTTGGCAGGAAAAAGAATCTCCTATATTAAAAAGATAATGTGTTGTAGGACTAGAGAGCTTTAGGATTTGGGCATTTGAGTTGTTGAAGCTTCATTCTAACTGATTTTATGCCGTCAAAAGACAGGAACCATTGTAAAATAACTATCAGGTGACAACTAATGTATGCAAAACTCTGTGATTGATTCCTTTTTTTTTGCAAGTATCATGAATTCATATTCTAAGCATTCTGAGAAGAATGCTTTTTTTTTAGCATAGATGGTATAAAAATACCAAGAAATACATGTAATTCCAGAAAGATAGAGGTTTTGTGCGTAATTTTCTGTACCAACCCATGTATCAGGAGGATATCACTCTGAGTCTGAATTTTGGCCTTTTCTTTCCTCCCTAGGATTTCTACTTCCCTAATTAAAAAATATGAATCTATTTAGCTGTTCTCGAATAGGCATCTATTTGTCAGTATTTAAATTCCTGTTTCTCTATGATAATTTGAGTATCTGCTATCTCTGAGAAGCACTGTGGATACTTTTCAGTTTTACTGTTGTTTTGACTTTATGGCAACTAGTGTGGAGATATTAAACAACAGTTTTCCAGAAAATTCGGTCCTGTTCTACAGATGTCAAAGTCGTACCTAAGTATCAAGCTCACTTAGTCTGAATTGTCAGTCTCTACCTTTGTGCTGCTGTCCATCTATTTGGTCGGGTAAAATGAAACTAATTTTAATTTGTTTACTAACTCTTAGTGATGAAGGCTCTCAACTCCTCTTTCTTCAAGTCCATGTTCATATGTGTCCGTTGCTGGTTCATGTGTTTGAAATCGGGGTCCTTCAGTCAA